AACTCTGGATAATTCTCTAGAACTCAAAAGAATTTTTAAAAAAAATTTCAGCTAATGGAATCCTTGATGATTAACAAATAAAAAAAAGTTTTCAGGTATCAAACGAAAAGATGTTTGCAATGGGTATTAATGGAATTCTTTGAAAGTTATTTTTGTGTTTTTTGTTTTTGAACAAACAGGTAATCATTACTAGCAGCTGCACTACTTCTTGCCCTGCATCCAGAGCTACAGAGGCCCAAGAGGAAGTAAGGTGGAGGAGAAAGCAATTCTCCAACTTGAAGCCCTGCTCCCTTGTGCCAGGCTGGTCAACATTCAGGCAGATCAGAGGGGGAAAAAAGCTGGAAGAAAACTGCACCATTTGTGGTAAGACTTTCAATGTTTTAAAAAGTTTCTTAAATGATTTAATGTCTTCTTAAAGTTTTTTAAACCTATATTTAACATAAAATTGCACAATTTATCTTTTGATGCTACTTTTCTTTCAGTACAAAAGGACCAATTACTGATGTCATAGACCACATCCCTTTGCTTTCTATATTACTTTAAGTGTGATAAAGTGTTTCTTTTTTTTTTTTTGACACTTTGCGGTACGCGGGCCTCTCACTGCTGTGGCCTCTCCCGTTGCAGAGCACAGGCTCCAGACACGCAGGCTCAGCAGCCATGGCTCACGGGCCCTGATAAAGTGTTTCTGAAATACATCTTCTTTGTCACTAGAGACACTGGTTTTACCAATATGCAATACTCAAAAAGCTCTCCAATGGTTTAAGTGTGAGACTCTGCAAAACAAACATGAATACTGCTGCATAATTTGCCTTTCTCCAGAAAAGGGTATTACACTTTGTTGACCCTGCATACAAAATAAAATGCAAAAATTTGCATTTTCAGTACTTTTGGTTTCTTGACCTTTATTTGAATTTGAGACTAAGCTTTACCAAACAACAGAATTTACACTGTAACTAGCCAACCACAGTCCTCATTATGGAATCTGTGCAGTGCATTTGTTACCTAGGAAACAGAGGAGAGCACAGGCAGAGTGCAATTTCAGTATAGCAAAAGAATTCTCCAATCATGCTGGTAAATAAAGTCCATAAATCAACTAATCAGAAGCAAAGTCAAGAAGTACCATGGAAGAGTTAAGCTCTATGGAAACTTTCTTCAAGGCAAAAAAGAAACCTGTGGGGTTTCTTCAGGCGACTATGTAGGTCTCTTCACTAAATATTATGAGCAGGTTTCTTTACAAACACAAACTGTCAAAAAATAAACTGTTCAAAATAAATGGCTTCTCTCCAATCTTCAGCTTCTCTATTTTTGACAGTATTTAAGAGAAAAAGCTTCTTTAGAGCCAGCCTCATACATCTGGTAGCAGAATATTAGTCCAAGAATGAATTCTGCATTTTCGGCAAGCAGCAAGGGTATGTACTGCTCTTAAACAACGCAGGACGATAAAGGCTGGAACGAGAGGTCACTGTCTGCACCTCTCACAGTCAGGCCTACTTTCCCAAGCTACAAAAAACTTCAGGAAAAAGAACTTGAAAGTCCCAGATCTTTTATAAAGAATAAAATTGTTAACTTTTCAGCTTTCCCCCTGGTTATTACTAATGATAATACTAGTCGTTTGAGGGTTCCAGGTAACATAAAGTGAACATTTTAAGTGTCTTTTTTTTTTTTTTTTTTTTTTTTTTTCTGTCCGCAGACCTCTCTCTGCTGTGGCCTCTCCCGCCGCGGAGCACAGGCTCCGGACGCGCAGGCTCAGCAGCCATGGCTCACGGGCCCAGCCGCTACGCGGCATGTGGGATCTTCCCGGACCGGGGCACGAACCCGTGTCCCCTGCATCGGCAGGCGGACCCCCAACCACTGCGCCACCAGGGAAGCCCCATTTTAAGTGTCTTTTAATGGTACCACACTAATAACTAACAAACAGGAAAAGACTAGAAAAGTCTATGGATTTTAAAGCCTATCAAATTTAACCGTGGAGAGCTTAGTGTTGTTAAAAAAAGAAACAAACTGGTAAATATCAGATTCTACTGCTCAGCTACTGATACATTTAAAACCCAACTTTACGCAAATTCAAAATTTCTGGAAGCATTTGTCATAGTATCAAAAGCAGCAGAAAAAAATTTCAACGATGAGATGTGAAAAATAATTTACATGCCTTCCTAAACACCAACATACCAGACGAAAAATCAGATGAAAATATTAAAGAGTCTCTGGAATGCTTCTGATTAACTAAAATAGTACCGTTAATTATAGAAAAACAAAGCACAAAACAAAAAAATTAATATCTACATATCAGTCAAAAAACAAAAACAAAACAAAAAAACCAGGTGTTATCTTTTAGCCAGCCTAAGTAAACACACCATGCCAATCCCAGAAAACTGTTAGACACAGCTACAACTCTGTCAAGCAATCCTCAAATGCAGGCCACACTCTTAATGTTTAGTTTACACAGTGACTCCATTAAACCTTAATGCTACAACTGACAGCCATGTAAACAAATACATAAACATGCAATTTGTTAGCTTATCTTTTTTAATACTGGGAAGAGCTGATGAAGAGTCTGTATCTAAAGAGCTGAAACTCTGGAAGTGTTTTAGAACTCTATTCCACCATTCATGGTAAAGTCTGAACAAATTTCAACACTTAGCCTCTTTGGGCCATCCTTATTAGAAAAGGAAGAGGTATCTTGCTCAAGGGCCTACCAGCGCCTGACACTGAGCTCTGTGCAGAGTTTAAATTCATTTATCTAATCTAGAACAGAAGTCAAAACAGGAACTAATCAAAGAGGCTGGCATGACCTTTGTTAGATGTACCCTCTTCTAAGTTTTAAGTAAAGTGTACAAAAATGTACACTCCAGGCATTTACAAAATAAGGCATGAAATAATATTAATCTGTTAATGTAAAACTAGGACAAGAATCTAGGATACATTTTTCTCCTAGAAAAAGACCACTATTTTAGGCATACTAAACTGCCTCCTCTTAATAATGACAAAAATCAGTTTGCCTAGTTAACACTATATTAAATTGTATATTGTTTTCTGACAAATTTCTACATGTTACTTGACAAAAACTTAAATAGCAAATATTTTTTCCACCATAATAATTTTCCTTCATGTTTGGATGATAATACTTTTATTTTTTAAGAAAGACTACATTTCCTACATATAGCTGTACATATAACTGTGTGTCCCCAAAACTGTGTTTTCTTTTTTGATCTCCTTGGTAACCATCAGATTTAAGTTTGTCAACATGGATTCTCAAACAATAAGCAAAAAAAAAAAAAAGTCTCCAGAAATGAGCAGTAGATAGAGGTGAATGCAAAGATATAAATCCACACCTGCGTTAAAACTCTGAATCTGGAAGGGCTTCCCTGGTGGTGCAGTGGTTAAGAATCTGCCTGCCAATGCAGGGGACACGGGTTCAAGCCCTGGTCCGGGAAGATCCCACATGCCACAGAGCAACTAAGCCCGTGCCCCACAACTACTGAGCCTGTGCTCTAGAGCCCGCGTGCCACAACTACTGAAGCCCACGCGCCTAGAGCCCAAGCTCCGCAACGAGAAGCTCGCCCACCACAACGAACAGTAGCCCCCCCCCGCAAGTAGGGAAAGCCCGTGCAACGAAGACCCAATGCAGCCAAAAAAAAAAAAAAAACTCATTAAAAAAAACTGAATCTGGAAAATTAATTTTCTGGGTGCTTATGCAACTTCATTTATTATCTGAGTATCTACAAATACATAGCAACTGTTCATAAAAAACATATAAATAATACAAATCAGAAATATCACTTACAGTGCCTTTCAAAAGTTATATCCACCATATACAACACAGTCGTTGGGTTATAAACAGAGAATACATAAATACATATAATAAAATAGGGAAAGCACAATCACAGGGAGAAATGATCAGTTCTAACGTTCATGTTCTCCCCATATGTCGTGAAAGATCTCATATCTTAAACCAGCAAAAATAAAGGTTTTAGCCTGGACAGAAAGTTAGATAATTGTTCATCGCACTCCAGTCTAACCTCCACTGTGGAAGTGACTTGCTTGTTAACTGTTTATTTAATAGGTAGAAGATTCTGTCATGTTAAACCTAAGGAGTCTGGGAAATAACAAAACTTTACCTCCAAAAGTTATACATATATGTAACCATCACAACCATATTCATCTTTTATTTCTTGCCTTTAAGTCCCTATCAGAAAGAAAGAAAGAAAAAAGAAAGCAAGAAAGCAAGAAAGAAAGCCATCAGAATACTAAAAAACACTGATTTTGGTCAGCCCAACCTTCTCCTACCGAGGGAAATCTATTTCTCGATGTATTTGATAACAAACACAAATCACTGTGCGCAGCCTCAGACGGGCTGAGGGGCGGAAGAGCCCTTCGGAGAAAGCCCTTCTCCGTCAGAAACAATAAATAAGGGACCCAAGCGAGGCACGTTCCTTCACACACGCCCCAAACGCACCTTGGCGTGCCTCGCGGGAGGGAAACAAGTCTGGCAAAGCCCCGAAACACCTCTCTCCCTCTCTCTCCATAACCTCCTCAAGACTTGAAAACTAAGAGAGCAGATCTTTTCTTTCCCCTTTCCCGCCCTCCTTCCCACCTCCAACAAACCCCAGAGAGGGAGCGGGCGAGCCAGACCCACGCAGCGCGCCCGCGGCCGCGGCGGCGACAGGGGATGCTGGGCGGCGGGCCGGCCCCAGAGAGACAACCCAGAGCCGCGGCCGCCGCTCGCTCGGCCGCCGGGGGTTTCTACCCCCTCACGCCCCCGAGGCCGTCGCCGGCGACGTCCGGCCGCCCGGCTCTCAGCCCCGACTCTCGGCCTTCTCGCGCCACCCCCCCCAAGCCCAGAGGAACAAAAGGAGGGTTCAGCCGGGTCACTGCTAGGCCGCCGAGGGGGGGGAGGCGGCGCGGACGCCAGTGCGACCGCCCCCCACACAAAGGGGCTCCCGGCCCCGGGCGCAGCGTCGGCGCGCTCGTCCCCGCCCCGCGCGCGGGCTCTCACCCACCTGCAGGTGTCTGTGCGTCTGTCCATAGGAACGCGGGCAGCGAGGGGGCCTGTAGGAGCCGGGCAGCAGGGGCTGGAGGGGGCGGGACGGAGGGAAGAGAGGGAGCGCGGCCACAGGGCCGGTGAGCGAAGACAAGTAGAACGGGAAGGCGCCGGACGGGCGACGGACCGAGGGGCTGGGGGCGGGGGCGCCAGCCTGGCTCCGCCGACCGGCACGCGCCACTCCGTGCGCCCCGGGCTCCGCGCGCCCGACTCCGAACGCGGCGGGCAGGCGGGGGGCGGGGCGCGGGGCGCGGGCGGGGGCGGGGCCGGCGAGCGGGGCGGGGGCTCGGACCCCGGCCTCCAGCCGGCACCGGAAACGCGCTGTGGTCCGGGAGACCCACAGGAAGTGTGTAACGGCCCTCCCACGACGCGCACCGAGCTAGCGGCGGAGGCTGTCCGGAGGAGGTGTGGACCGACCCTCCTGCTACAGACACGCGACCACGAGCTCGGTCTCCGCAGCCCGACAGGCGTGGGAGCCACGATCCCCTCAGCGTTCTCAAGTGGGCAGCACCCCCTCTCCTGCCACACGCCCCAGGCCCGCGGCCCCCGCTGCCCTTCGCAGCTCCGTACAGCTCCACCTAAACGCCAGGATCAGACCTCCTTGCAAGACCCTGGGTTTGTCAGGCGTGTGATACCTGTTTTAACGCGCTGAGTGGAGTCACCTCTACATCCAGGCATGTGCAAGAACACCTCCGATCGACAGACGTACCACCCACAGTCACCGCTGCCCGGTGGAAGTTTCCAATACAGCTACAACCACACGCACCCATCCCGTGGAGGGAGCCGGTCTGCTGAATAACACCTAAAACACACTAAGACCGGGAAGCATATAATAACACCACCTGCACAGCTCGGCACAAGGGAGGTAAGGCTGGACCAGGCGCCCTCCACCTTTATCTTATCCACCAAACACTTTCATAGTACTTACACTAAGTGCTTAGCGAATATTAATTTGCTTAATCCTAAGAACTCTATGAAATGGGTCTTGTTAGCATTGCTGTTTTGCACATGAGGAAACTGAGGCACAGAGACAGTAAGAAAGCTGCCCAAGATCACATAGTAGCAGGAGGAACCCAGATTCGTCCCAGGCAGTCTGTCTCTGTGCTCCTTTCTACTTACAGCCCTAAGCATCTCCAAAATAATAATAATGGCAATAACTATCATTTAAAGCATATCTGATTAGCCATATGTAGTGCTCACATCTTGGCCTCACCCCAGCTGTGACAGGGAAACCTCATTCCCACTAACTTCTGAACAAAGGAGAAAGGATTCCTAACACCTTTGTCTATCAACACTCCTCCTGGCTGAATTTAAAAATCTGTAAACATTTTTGATAAATAATGTGTCCAAAAAAAAGAAAAAAAAACAGGGACTTTCCTGGTGGTGCAGTGGTTAAGAATCTGCCTGCCAATGCAGGGGACACCAGTTCGATCCCTGGGCCGGGAAGATCCCACATGCCACAGAGCAACTAAGCGCATCCGCCACAACTACTGAGCCTGCGCTCTAGAGCCTATGTGCCACAACTACTGAGCCCACATGCCACAACTACTAAAGCCTGCACGCCTACAGCCTGTGCTCCGCAACAAGAGAAGCCACTGCAATGAGAAGCCCGCACACCGCTATGAAGAGTAGCCCCTGCTTGCCACAACTAGAGAAAGCCCACGCGCAGCAACAAAGACACAATGCAGCCAAAAATAAATAAAATAAATTTATTAGAAAAAAGAAAAAACAGTTAATCGCCACATGTTTCAAGTACATAATCCTGTGGGAAAATTGAAATCCTGTGCATTGCTGAGAGAAATATAAAATGGTGCTGCCACTATGGAAAACACTATGGAGGGTCCTCAAAAAACTAAAAATGGAATTACTATGTGATCCAGAAATCCCACCTCTAGGTATATATATCCAAAAGAATTTGAAGCAAGAACTTAAAGAGGCATTTGCAACCCATGTTCACTGCACCATTATTCACAATAGCCCAGAGATGGAAGCAACCAAAATGTCCAAGGATGGATGAATGGATAAACAAAATGTGGCATATACATACAGTAGAGTATTATTCAGCCTTAAAAAAGCAACCCTGTCACATGCTACAACATAGATGAACCTTGAGGACATTACACTAAGTGAAATAAACCAGCCACAAAACAACAAATACTGTATATAAGGTACCTAGAGTTGTCAAAATCACTTATATAAGGTACCTAGAGTTGCCAAAATCATGGAAACAGGGTATTATGGTGGTTGCCAGGGAATGAGGGGATTATGGAGAGTTGTTGTTCCATGAGTATAGAGTTTTAGTTTTGCAAGATGAAAAAGTTCTAGAGATCTGATACACAACAATGTGAGGATAAACCACTGACCTGTACACTTGAAAATGGTCAAAAGGATAAATTTTGTATTATTTGTTTTTTACCACAATTAACTATTTAAATGCAGTCCCATTTGTTTAAAGGATATTTCCACCTTGATGAGTTTTTTAAATGATGCAGGCTTCCAGCTATGATGAGGTACCTTGTTGAACAAACTAACTCTCCCACTAAAAGCTATAAAAAGCTGCATTAAAAAAAAATAAAAGCCTGTTTAAACCTGTTATACAGCAATCCAGGTAGCCAAGGCTTGAGATTCCCAAGAGCCCAGCAAGAAGGGAAACATGATGAAGTGAATCCTCCATCCTAAGCCATGTTTCCTCCTCATGGCATTGTTGATTTGTGTCTAGGAGTATAGAAATCTGAGAGAGCCATCCTAGAGCTTTCAATAGTCTGATTGGGCTGGAGATACAAATTTTGGAGCTCAAGTCTATCAGCGTAGCTAGGGCTTGAGATGCTAAGATCCCAGAAGAAAGGCAATCACAGTAAAAGGAGTCAGTCATTCTACATATTTTCCCTCAAAGCATTTGCTGATTCCTAGCCTGTTCATGCAAGGGGCAAGAAGCCAGGAAATCAAGCAGAAAGCAGTTGTTAACAGAAAAAAAAAAAAAAATCTAAGCAGAAGTTTTTGGCTGTCTTACTGTGCTGGAAAGAATTAAATAGAATTAAAGTTCTTAGACTTATAGTAGTAGAGACTGGCTAGGATGTGACTGCCTTATAATCACTTGGTACTTTCTCAGATAAATATATGGTCAATTGTGTACACTTTTAAGTTGCACTAACATTGCTTTTGTGCTTTTCGTGACTAAATATTTTTCATTAACCTTTACAGTAATGGAAACCTCAACTTGTATTATGGAAAAGTTTTTTAATGTATTATGTTTTTTAATTTCTAAAGTTCTATTTTTATTTTATTCTGCTGTTTTTCAACAAATGATGCTGGAACAATTGGATTTCCCTAGTCAGAAATATGAAATTTGATCCACACATTGCACATGTACAAAAATTAGCTTGAAATGCTAAATATACCTAAATGCAAAACTTAAAACTGTAAAACTTCCATAAGTTTTCAGTTAGGCAAAGATTTCTGAATTATACCAAAAGCATGATCCAGGAAAGAAAAAGATTGATAAGTTGAACCTCATCTATTTTTTTAAATTTTTATTTATTTATTTTAGTTTTGGCTGTGTTGTATCTTTGTTGCTGTGCGCAGGCTTTCTCTAGTTGCGGCGAGTGGGGGCTACTCTTCGTTGCAGTGTGCAGGCTTCTCACTGTGGTGGCTTCTCTTGTTGTAGAGCATGGGCTCTAAGTGTGCAGGCTTCAGTAGCTGTGGCATGTGGGCTCAGTAGTTGTGGCTCACAGGCTCTAGAGCGCTGGCTCAGTAGTTGTGGCGCATGGGCTTAGTTGCTCCACAGCATGTGGGATTTTCTCAGACCAGGGCTCGAACCTGTGTCCCCTGCAATGGCAGGCAGATTCTTAGACACTGTACCACCAGGGAAGCCCAAACCTCATCTATTTAAAAACATTTTGTTATTCCTGTATCACTGGTAAGAGAATAAAAAGACAATCTATTGAAAGGGAGAAAATATTTGCAAATATCTGAAAAATTACTTGTATCCTGAATATATAAAGAGCTCCCAAAATTCAATAATAAAACAAACAATGGAATAAATGTGGGCAAAGATTTGAGCAGACACTTCATCAAGGCGATATACGCATGTCAAATAAGCACATGTAAAGATGCTCATCCTCATCAGGGATATGGAAGTTAAAATACAATTAGATACTACTACATACTTATTAGAATGGCTAAAATTTAAAAGGCTGTACATATCAGGTGTTGATGAAAATGTGAAGAAATGAAATCCTGTACATTGTTAGTGAAATGTAAAATAGTATAACCACTTTGGAAAAAAGTTTGGCAATTTCTTAAAAAGTTAAATATATGCACACCATATGATCCAGTCATTTCATACCCAAGAGAATACAGGGACTTGGTACATGAATGTTCACAGAAGCTTTATTTGTAATAGCCAAAAGCTGGAAACTACCCCAATGTCTATCAACAGGTGAATGGATAAACAAACTGTGGTGTATTCATATAATGGCAAACTGCTCAGCAGTAATAAAAAGGAATGAACTATTGATATATGTAATGACAAGAACAAATTTCAAAGTAATTACGCAGATTGAAAGAAGCCAAACAGAAAATACATACTGTATGGCTCCATTAATGTAAATTCCAGGAAAATGTAAACTAATCTATAGTTATAGAAAGCAGATCAGTACTTGCTGGAAATGGGATCAAGGATGGGCATAAATGGCTACAAAGGGGCAGAAGGAAACTTGGATATGTTCATGTGTTTGGATAGTTGGTGATGGATAGGTTGACAGTGCAAAGAGTAAACATATAGGTAAATTTAAAGACTTTTTTTCTCATTTTTTTAATCTTTAAAAAGATAATTCACTGTTATCAAAAATATTAAACAATATACTGTAGAGTTAAAAACATATGTGGAAATAAAATGTATGACAAAGTGGTACAAAGGATGGGAATGGGAAATGGAAATATTTTGTGAGATTCTTTCAAGGAAGACAGAAAGAAATAGAAGACCAGAAAAGAAAAACAAAGATATACAGAACAGATGGAATAAAGCAAATGGTAATTAATAACTTCCCAAAACAGAAAGCAC